ACATGTTTCAAACGCAAACCACTGGACTTTGGGATACAAGGCCCCACGTTGGCACCTTCTCCCTCCTGCAGAAGAATTGAGACTGCCTGTGAGAATAAACTAAAAATGTCCCCAAAACACCATGGGGTCCATCCCCCTAAGCCAGACTCAGGCCCCCTCAAACAGATGGGCAGAGATTCTGTTTTCTTGACAAAACAAAACCAAGAGCCAAAAAATAAAACCCACCAACTCCAGAGGCGGCGCCTGGAAAATTCTCTTGGGGAAGTCCCCGTAGGTGTCTAACCTCAGTTCTTCATGATTTGGTTTCCACAATTTCTTCTGTTCTAGAGGACAGAAACAATGTCTCTTTTCTCTGCAACCTGTCTCGGCAACTCTTCTCAACTCCAAAATAGCCCGGGTTTGTTATCAACAACTTTCCTTTCCAACTTTATCACTGAGAAGCAGAAGCTTTTGAAACCTAGGTAATGATCCTCTCCAACCTGTCATGGCTTTCAACAAAAGCCGGCAAAAGGGATGGGGAAGAGTCTAGTCCGAGCTGGCACGCCGTCAGCGCCAGCCACATCACACCCGGGAGAGGCCAGCTCCGCGCCTTCCCTGCTGTGCGCTTCGGGCAAGACGCGCCCCCTCTCTGGGCCTCAGTCTCCCCGTCCGTGTACCAAGAAAGGCTGGCCCGATTTCTCGGTCCATTCCAGTTCCTGCCGCTGTCGGAGCTGCCCACCCTCACTGCTGGCCCTTGCTCTCCCTTCCTCCCCCCCGCCAAAAACAGGAAAAGAAACTTGCGTTAGGTGTCGGGGGAGGCCGTGCGGCTCCGAGTCGCCAGGCTGCGCGGATTGTTGCCGGGAGAACGAAGCGCGCAGAAATCCCAGGACAGAGAAGTCCCACCTCCCCGGTAACCACAGCTACCCGGGCCACACCTCCAACCCAAACACAGCCCGGAGCCCCGCCAAGGACCACCCCCGGATTCCCTCGGGACCCCTCCCCGCCCAGAGACCAGCCCCAGCCGGAGCGAGCGAGAGGGAGAGAAAAAGCCAACGCCCCCATTGTGCGGAGGTGGAGACTGAGGCCGACGGCGGCGACTGCGGAACCCAGCAGTCGGCGAGGTTAGGACTGGACAGTGACGGCGCGCCCGGGGCGCCCTCCCATTCCGGGAGTGCCGATCCGTCTGCCTCCCGTGCGCGTGGGGTTTCCACGTGGGAGAGGCCGAGAGCAGAGCAGGCCCTGTGGATCGGAGCCCATCGGCGCTGTCCGCTCTCCCCCCCACCCCATTCCCCAGACCGAGAAACTGAGGCCCGGCGAGGGCCCAGCACCCGCCAGCGACCCACCGTGAGCCCCTCCCCGCGCCTCACCTGCTGGCTGTCTCCGCGCGCCGGTGGTTTCCTGGAGTTGAGCGGCAAACAAAGGCCTCCAATCCCGGCGCGGGGCGGGGCGGTGACTTTTTGCTTAATCCCCGAGGCGGGCCTGTGACGGGCGGGGAGGGCCTCGGGAGGCGGGGCCTCTGGAAGCTCCACCAATCGCAGAGAGCCGGCCGCCTGCGGCCCGCCCCCAGGGACTCGGCCCCAGCCCCAGCGCTGTAGAGCTCACATCTGGGAGGTTTGTGTCCCTCCTGGAACCCGCCCGACGTAAAGGAGCCTGAGGCCCAGAGCGAAGACTTTTGTGCAAGGTAGCATGGAACCAGAGTGAGCAAGAAAGCACAAACGTTCGTAGCTGAAACGGAGTGCTTCATAACAGTCCTAAGAATCTTAATAATAAACTTTCCTTGAGCTCCTGCGTGTCAAGGACTGCTGTGCGCTCCTCCTGTGATCCGTCCTCTCCTGTGAGGTAGCTGGGTATTGGCGCTGCCCTCCAAGTCCACTCTTGTCCAGACCACTAGGAGCAAGCGGGAAAAACCCAGGTCTGCAGAGGGATCGCGACTTGCCCAAAGTCCCGCGGTGAGCGCAGGACAGAGAGATCCCTTGTCCCCTGACAGCTCGCCTTGAAGGGTGGCGGTGTAAAGTGTCAACTGACCTCAGCTCCCGTCCCAGTTCTGCCACTGGACTTAAGAGCTGCCGCGAGGAGGGGATAAAATAAACCCAGCGCCAAGCCCAGAAGAAAGAAATCAACGGCACTCGCTTCAAGAGTTCCTCCACCAACCCTGTTTCACAAGGGGGTTCATAGGCCCCAAGACAGGAAGAATTTTTCCTGGGGACCCGCGTCCAGCTGTGTTGCAGCCACTTCCCTATCCTCCTGGCAGATCGCTCTTCCCAGTTCCCCAGGGGGCCCGAGGCTCCTGCAGGTGCCCAGTACTGATCACAGCAGCAATTCCTGTTCACTAGAGGTATACTCCGTGCCAGTGGCAAACGTTTTAGCCAGTCCTTATAATATCCTATAGGCTAGATGAATACTATGCCCTCCATTTGAAACATGGTGAAACTGAGGCTCAGAGAGGTTAAGTGACTTGCTCCAGATCACACAGCCAGGAAATCGTAGAGACGGAATTTGATTCCAGATGTCAGACTCTGAAGTATGGACCCTTTGAGCGGGGTTTTGTTCTCTATCCTTGTACTCCTCACACTGGGCTGTTCTATCCCTCACCCTGTTTTCTCCCAGGCAAAGCAAGGTCCAGGTAATTTGAAGACCAACTCAGCACCTGCTTGGGCAGGCCCTGGCTCCGGCCAAAAACATGAGCTCTTCCTGCCTTCTTCAATTAGCAGCAGACCCTGAGACTCTCCAGCAATACTGTCCCCACACCACCCCTGCCCTGATTCTGGCATCATGAATAAAGTTGTGAGGGCCACAGGTGCGTGTGGCCAGGGTGAACCTCTGACCCCTCCCTGCTCCATTATTCAGAACTGCCTTAACCCATGGTATTGGGTCCCTTCAGAAGACAGCAGGACACATGCTTGTCCTTGGCTTTATGATGTGGACTTCAAGCAGCCATACGTCCAAATTTAGCCTCTATTACCCGCTAACTCTGTAACTTTGGGCAAGAACTTGACCTTTCTAAGCCCACTGGCAAAGACATTTTTTTAAAGTTTGTTTAAAATTCCACGAGAGGGGGTCCTTAATGCCCAATGGACCACAGTCCCAGAGTCGAGCCCGAGAATTCTAGAAATGACAGCTCTCGAAATTCTTTCTTGTCCTAGTTTTTCAGAGTTCAACTGGGAGCAATGGGCAGCAGCTGCTGGAAGCTTTCTTGTCTCGTGGAGTTGGAGCTTGTGGTCCGTTGGCTGGTTCAAGGCATGGATGGTCACGAGGTTGCAACCTGCTCAGAGCTCATAGGGTCGGTCAGCGGCTGGGCTGAAATTCACTGTGGGCTGGTGATAGATGAAAACCTTTCAGTTCAGAACAAGATGCACAAGGACTTGAGACTGCAAAGGGTGTTGCGTTTCTAAGGCCAGAGGGCCCTTGGTTCACCGTCACCATCATCTGGACTGTCATGGTGTTCCTGGGGCTGACCCTGAGCCTGATTCTGAGCCTGGTTCCTGGGGCCCACGCACAGCGTCCCAATCACCGTCGGAGGCAAGTAGCTGGATCCCCACTGAATTGTCTCCTGGGGTGGTTGTAACAAATTATTACCAGTTCATGGCTTCAAACAGCACTCATTTGTTCTCTTACAAAGGGATGTCAGAAGTCCAAAGTCAGTTTCACTGGGCTGTCCTCAAGATGTCAGGAGGGCAGGTCCCTTCTGCAGGCTCCGAGGGGAGAATTTCTTTCCCTGACTTTTCAGTGTCTAGTAGCTGCCTGTATTCCTGGGCTGGTGGTCCCTCCCCCATCTTCAGAGCACATCCCCAACCTCCACTTCCTTAGCCATAATACCGTTCCCTCCTCCCATCAAGTTTCCCTCTGCCTTCCTCTTCCAGGCATCCTTGGGATTACATGGGACCTGCCCGGAAAATCCAGCTCAACCTCCCCATCTAAATGCCTTAATCCCTTAGGCAAAATCCTTTGCCACGTAAGGGAACATTTTCACATTGCCGGAACCTGGGTTATCTTTGAGGTCATGATTCGGCCTACCACACCCATTTCCCAGATAGGGAATTTGGACCTAGAAAGGTGAGATCATTGGCCCATGACCAGGCAGGATTTGGCATCTGATGCCTGGAGATCTGAGCACTGATGACCAAGGGAGTTATTCCCTGCATGGGTATTAAGACTGAGGAGGGGCGCAAAGAGTCCCCACTGGAGAGGCCGGGGCTTCAGGGATACCGGCTGCTTCAGAGGTCAAGTGGAGTCCCGGGACCCTGGCCTCAGGTGGTCTCGTTGGGCTGGGGAGGGGAAAGGGTCAGCTAAAAGCAGGATCTGGCACAGGTCTGCAGATCAGCTGCCCTTAACCCTGCTCTGGCTGACCTCTGAACACAGGTTTGAACAAAGCTGGACTTCTCCAAGTCTTTTTGTCCCAGAGAAACCCTGGGGTTGAAGGAAATGGAACCTAGGGCTATGTAGCAGACCATTGTTTTTTGCCTCTAACACCCCTGCCATTGGCTCCTGGAACTGCTTGGCCTGCGCAGGTGAAGAATGGGAGTGTGATTGGGAATTTACTATCTCTCTCCCCCTTCCTATCCCCAGGCCTTAGCCAAAGACTGACAGCATGAAAGCCCTGTCCCCTTGCCCTGAGTGGGGATGGCTCTGGACCACTTAGACTCCAGAGGCCCCTGTGGGATCAGGCTGCAGCCACCTCCCAGGACTTTGCCTGAAATCCCCGCCCTGCTTGGTTTCCTCCTTTTCCCCCTCCTAATCCCCCCAAAGGCAGGCCGCCTCCCTGTATCTGAAAACATCGCTATTCAGTCCCATAACATACCTGTCTGTTTTAAGAATATTTTCTGTGAACAACCTTCAAGTAAGGTGCTCCAAGATGTGGGTGTGGCTCACGTGCCCCGTGTACCTGTTGTGTGTTGCACAGGGGGGTGGGGGGCAGGGGGAGAAGCTGGTGGTGTGTGTTACTCTATTCTACCCGCCCCCAACTTTAGGTCAAGCTATCAAAACCCCAGCCACAAAGGCAGGCCACACAGCACACTGGACACTCACCTTGTTCAGGTTTCTTTATTGAAAAATTAAAGTCATAAGCTCTGTATATAAATACACGGACGTCGCGGGTCCCCTGCAAGGCCTCTGGGATAGGCAGGGTGGGAAGCTGGGGTCTTGGGGTCCCCAGGGGTGACGAGAGGGAAATAAATAATAAATATTATGGGGGGAATAAGGAGCCAGGAAGAAAGGGGGTGTGAATGGGGGGAGGTGCTTGACGCTTATTTGTGGCACTAAAGGTCCTGTGAGATGCCCCCGGCGGGGGCGTGTCCATGAATTCTCAGGTGGTCTTACTCCGCATAAAGACTCAGACACCAGAGGACGGGCCAGGTCCTAGCTGGCCAGGGAACGGGGCCCAGTGGCCTCATCCAACCCAGGGGGACAGGCCCTGGCAGGCCTCAGGTGGACTTTCTCTCCTTCCCACCACTTGTACTGAGCGCCTACTGTGTACGCCTTGCATGGCACCGGATCCCGATCTGACCTTCTGTTTGCCTCATCCAGTTCTCTTCTCCTGGTTCTGGGCCAGCAGGCCGGGAAAGAGTGGGGGGATGTCTTCCTGCCCCCCTGGCTATGCAGCCCTGGTCCTCAGGGAGCTGACTAGTGCCAGGAGGGAGGAGGGACCAGGGCCGGGGACTAGGCAGCAGCAGGAGGCCTCCGGGCCCCAGCCTCTAGAGCATCACATTGAACTCGGTGACCAGAAAGTCGATGTAGTCTCGCTCCTTGGTCTTGAAGGCCTCTGCAATGATGCGCGCCGCCTCCCGGTGCTCCTTGCCCCGAAGGGTCAGCCCGTTCACTTCCAGAATCACGTGGCCCACCTTGAGCTGCCCGGAGTTGTGGGCCGAACCGCCTCGCTGCAGGGGTGAGACACAGGGTAGGGGCGCTTGAGGCGGCTGAGGGCGAGGCTGGCCCCTCCTTAGACACCCACTGGGTCAGGCCCAACCCCACCAAGCAGGCTACAATCTGGGGGTCCACTGCCCTGACAAGGAAAACAGGCTCAGGGAGGGCAAAGGGCCTGGGTCCGCCTCTGGTGGCTGGTCACCCTCGGGGTGGGGGGGTATGTGTGGGACAGAACCTTGGGGATGCCGAGAGACGGGCCCTCGGGGGTAGGCAGAGATAGTCACGTGGGGCCCACGGAGCTGTACCTGAATCGTGACAATCCGGGGCAGAGGCTGGCGGGTGTTGGCGCCACCCTCGATGGCAATGCCCAGGGTGGCCGCACTTTTCTTCACGCGGACCAGGGTGGACGTGGGCTCCAGGAGTCCAGGCTGTGAGCGTGAGCAAGGAGACAAGTGTCTGAGGCCTTCTCCATGGATAGACCTGGCTCGGGTGTTGGGGGGATGTGTGCACGGGCAGTGACATGCCACTGGGTCAGAAGGGCTCAGATGACAGCCCCTGGCTGGGAGCTGCCAGTGTGCTAGCACTAAGCTAAGAACTGGTGCCCACAGCGCTCTAATTGCCGAGGCTCAGGTTAAGGGGTCGGCCCGAGGCTGCCTGATGGTGGGGGTCCTGGGACTTGGACCCAGGCCTGACTGCCTCAGCCAGCATGCCAACTCAGTCCTGCGCTGGAAGATCCTGAGGACTGGCTTTTAGTGCTTGGCTTGTCAGTGTCTGGCAAAGGTGAGACCTAAACTGGGCCTCCAGACTCCTGATACAGTGCTCGTTCCCGGGACCCTCATCCTCCAGTGCTGGGGGCTCACTTTCTCCCTGTAGTGGGTACTTGTCAAGCTGAACGCTGCTGGGGGACCTCCTGTTCCCCACCTGGGGCCTGCCCTCCCCTCAGTCCTCTGTATCCCCTCCTCCTTGCTCACCGGTTTGGTGGCCCCCTCTGTGGTCCTCTCATTCCGAGATGGCTCCTTGCTACTCCTACTCTTGGTAGATGCCATCTGTCTGCCTCGGCCCGGGGCGCTGGCTTCTGCCTCACCGGCATCCACACCACTGTCCTCGCTCAGGGTCTGCCCACTGTCCGAGAGCTGGGAGAGTGTGGAGGTTGCTGGGAGGGGGAACGGGAGGAGAGTGGGGGTTTATACCTCTAGGGTCCGGGTGGGCTTCCTGGAGGAGGTCGTGGAGCTACAAGCTGGAAGGCTGTGGGGATTCCCCAGGCGCGGACTAGGGAGCAATGAGGGGATCACAGGGCTGGAGGGAGGCGAGACACCGTGCCACCTTTCCACTGCTGGGATCTGCCCTTCCACCCGGGGCATGCCCCAAGGCCAACAGGTCTTCTGCTCTGACCACCCAGTTCTCTGTCCATGGCGTAATGATGAAAACAGAGGTCCAAGAGGCAAACCCAGCCCACAGATATGGGTTATTATTATTTTTTAACTTGCATAATGCTCTCCAATTTTAATGATGAACTAACACATTCCAATTAAGGTATTTCACAGAAAAATTAAATTTCTAGCTTCTCAATAAAACAAGGAAAGGTTTGCCATCCCTTATCTGTACCCTCCACAACCCCAACTGGTCTGAGCTAAGCGGTGAGCACATACCCTCATTCACCAGTACAGCCCGAGCTGTTTTGCTGTGTGTGTGAGGGCTGGGCCCCTGAATCTGGGACACTCTAGAGACCAGCAGGTCAGGTCTGAATCCTTTCTGCCCAGCTTGAGCAACCCCAGCGAGTTACATAGCTTCCCTGAGCCTCCCTGGCTTTGTTCTAACATAGGAGCACTGATGCCCATCTAGCAGCATTATCATAAAGATTTTATTATTTGAGGGTGCCTGGGTGGCTCAGTGGGTTAAAGCCTCTGCCTTCGGCTCAGGTCATGATCTCAGGGTCCTGGGATCGAGGCCCGCATCAGGCTCTCCGCTCAGCGGGGAGCCTGCTTTCTCCTCTCTCTCTCTATGCCTGCCTCTCTGCATACTTGTGATCTCTCTCTCTCTGTTTCAAATAAATAAATAAAATGTTTAAAAAAAAAAGATTTTATTATTTGAGATGTGTAGAGTGAAGCCCACAGTTAACTGTGACTCCGTTTTCCCGTCTATAAAATGGGGACAACAGTAGCAGCTTTACAGGGCTGCTGGGAGGGTTAGATGAGGTGCTAATAGAGGTAGGGCCCCTAGAACCGTATCTGGTACACAGGAAACCCCACACAACGGACACCTTTTATTCTTGTGTGCTGGGCTCAGGGCCAGGTGACACCTTGGGTTTCTTTCACCGCATCCGGCCTGTTGTCCCCTTAGCTGCCTTCCCTCCCTGGGCTCCTGAGCGTGGGGACTCTGCAATCTGCATCCCAGTCTGCCCACTGTTTGGTATACAGCAGGCACTCAGTTCAGAGCCCCCAACCTGCCACCTTCCCTGACCACAGCGGGACCTATACATGACTTTAGCCACAAGATGGCAGCAGAATCCAGCAAGAGGCACCCAACTTGCTAAGGGAAGGGAGATCTAGAGCCAGATCTAGAGCCCGCCAAGGCTTCAGGCTTCCTGCGAGTGAAAAACCAGCTTTATCCTGCTGTCCGCCCCGTCAGCTGGACACCCTCTGGAAGGTCTGGGGCCGCAGCCTCTGCAAGTTCGAGCGGGCACTCTGACCCTGCAGGCCTCCCCCCGCACCCCTCCCCTCACCCCCAGATCTGGAGACCTCCAGGGGTCCAGGGACAATACTTTCCATACCTGTCTTTCCCCCAGCATGCACCTTGTCCCAGACCCAGGGGATAGAGATCACAGAGGCCACCCCTGTCCTCAAGGAACCCAGTCTCAGTGGGGAGATGGAGACTGTGGGGTGGCCAGGACCGGGGGCTCTGGGGCAGGAGCCCAGTCCTCCCAGCGACCCAGTGGGGCTGTCACTGAACCTCCATCCTGTGGCTTGTCCGTGGTCACGCAATTCTCAAGTGGCAGTGCCAGGGCTCACACCTGTGTCCACACGGACTCAGCACCCTGTTCCCGGGGCACTCGGACCCTGCACACGCTTCCACTCTAAGTATACCTGGATGCCCCCCAAACCAGCCGCGGGCGCTCTGAGCCCATCCCCCGCGGTGGCGGCCAGTACTCACTGCGGCTCTGGGGCAGCGCCCTCACTTCGTTCACGTCCGGCTCACTGTCCGGCCGGTGCACCTCCACCATGACAAAGTGCTGGTTTGTGCCCACTGGGTCTGGCCGGCCGGAGCGGGAGGGTGGCGGGAGGCAGCCCCCCGCCAGCGTGGCCTCTGCGGGGGAGCTTTTCAGGTGTGGGGGTGACTGGACGCGCGGGAAGGGGCCAATGGGGTGCTGGTTGACCAGGGCCAGGTGGGTGTCCAGGGGCCTCTTGGAGCCAGGGTTGGCGGGGGAGACAGAGGCATAGATGGGGGAGGAGGGCGAGTCTTGTGCTGAGGAGGCCCCCGGGACCGGTGCGGTACCCGCTGGTGGGCTGCGGTTTCTGGGAGCCGAGAAGACGATGCCCGAGTGGGAAGACGTGGAGGACGATGGCTGGAGGTCCTCCTTCCCTGGCTTCCTCGGCTGGGCGTGCGGGCGGTTGTGGCCTTGGGCCAGAGGGGGCGGGGGAGGCGGCAGCTTGTAGCTCGGCAGCCCCTCTGGTGGGTCTTTGACGTCGTCCTGCCAAAAGACCCAACAGGAGTAGAAGGAGTCGGACCCCATGGCGGCTGGTTGAGGGGAGCCCTGAGCGGCCCAGGCTGCGGCTGGAATTCTGTCCCGCTCCATCAGCTCCCGGCCACGCTGCTCTGAATAATGCAACAACACCCCAGTGGAAAGCTGCTCCCCCCGCGCAGCAGCTGATAAGCGTCTGCATCCTGGCGGGCGTCTCTGGGGACGGCATCGTTACCTGTGGGAACTCAGGTTCTTGGCATCAGCCACAGGCCTTGTCACGGGGAACAAGACTTAATTAGAGGTGGATGTAGAGAATGGAGGGAACAGAAAAAGCATTTCTTTGGCTTTTCTTTCTAGAAGATTATCGTGGCTACTAGAGGCAGGAGATGTGCAGGACTGGAGGGAGAGGGAACGGACAGAAGGGGACAGTCACATGGGCTCGGGGACTGTGTGGTCCTAGGCACGACACAGCTGGCCTCTCAGAGCGCCTCTCTGGGCAGTGGGCAAATCTGCACCTGCCTGGCAGGGGTGCGGGGTGTGAGCAGCCCCATGCGTCATGTGTCGGTGGGTGCCTGTGCCCAGCAGGTGCACAGAGAGCAGGAGCCCCGGATAGCATCATTGCCGTTCCCCCCTGCCTAGGCCGACACCCAGCACTTGAACGCCCTGACGGCAGGGCAGACACGGTCCCAGATGCTTTACTTACGTGGACCCATTCACCCCTTGCCACAAACTTGGGGTGGGTACACTATTATTATTCCCATGTTACGGAGGGGAAAACCAAGGCACAGAGAGGTTAAGAAACTCGCCCGAAGTCACACAGTGGCAGAGGTCGGATTTGAACCCAGGCAGCTAGCTCCAGAGTCCAGGCTGTTCAGAAACTATCTGGGTTGGAACCGCAGTGATATTGCCCGGGCTGCCGATGTGCACACAGGAGTCCAAGGTCACATTTAACTTTCATTTCCAGTGTGGTCGTATGGCCTCTTCAGGGAGGCCACACACTCCATGTGTCAGTATTTATGATATGGTTCAGATAACGTATCAAAAGTAATAGTGATTTGGCAAAGGAAGAGCCTGATTCCCCACCTGAAATCCCCAGGAGGGGCTGAGAGCCGTGGTGGCTCCTGCCAGAGAGGGCTGATCGATGTCCTGTGTGCAGGCCTGGCGCCGGGTCAGAGGGCCTCTGTCCCCTTCCTGTGGCTCTCACTGAGGAGCCAGCACCCCAGGGCCGCAGGCAGACCAGGGAGGGCAAAACTCAAGGAAAGGGCCAGACAGGGTCTTACCAGGGAAACATCGGGGAGGGTGTTTGTAGTGCCCTGGACAGTCTCACCAGTTTCTTCCAGGTCCAGAGTGTTCTAGAAACACAGAAGAAAGCAGTGTGAGCAAATGCAAACTCAGAGGGAGAAAGCAGTTTGCCCTCCGAGATACCCTAATCCATAATGGGCCCCGTGACACCTTCTTGTGGTTTCTCCCTGTCCTGACATGCCCTGCTCTTGGGAAATTGACACATCAAAATTAATGTTGGTTTTCATGCCAGTCGTTTTGAAATCAATTTTTCTTTGAAGCTTTCCAGGCCTCCCGTGAACTATCTTTGTTGGTGGGGGGTGGGGGGTACTCTGACCTGGCCTGGGAACTCCTGAACCTGGGCCCCAGGTACCATGCTCCACACCCTCAGTGCCTTCCCAAACCCACAGGTGCTCGCAGACAGAAGCCCAGGAAGGTGTGACAATGGCAGGACGCCAGTGAGAGGTGGAATCTCTCTCTTTTTAAATTTTAATGGTTGCAATTGTGAGGCAGGGGGTCAAGGGTTAAACACACCTTATTTTGCAAAAATGCCCATTTCTTGCTTCCTTCTCAAACTCACCCGGAAGAAGCCTCATGCTCCCTCCGGTGACACTGAGCTGCTGTTAGGTCACCTGCAGGCCGTCCCTGGGAGGCTGAGCAGGGCCCCTCTCTAAAGGAGCTCTCTTGAGGGCTCAGTGGAGCCATCTCTCCACCCCGCGGAGCCCAGGATGGCCACGAGCATCCGCCACCACCCCCGGGGCTCACGTCGCAAAGACGGCCATCAATAGTGAGCAGTCTCGGGGCCGGACTGATGAGGGCCGGGGGCCACAGAGGCGGTGCGACACCACCCCTGCTGTCAGAAGCTTAGAGGAAGTGGGTTCGACACAAGTAAGCAAGGAGGAGACAGTGCACAGAGTGACGAGTTACAGGCATATCAGCAGCTGGGGAGGGTTATCAAGGAAGGCTTCCGGGAGTAGGGAGCATGGCTTAAAGTTGAGTCTTGTGGGTAAAGGGGGCAAAGGAGGGAGCGATGGTGTTTCAGAGGGCAGGGCATGCATAAAGCAGGAAGGAGGTATGAGAATCTTCGAGCAGTTCCACACGACTCAAGCATGGAGCTGCTGGCACTTGAGGCTGAGGGCAGCGGGTTGCCATGGTGACGTGGTCAAGTCAGTCTTCTGTGAAGATTCCCTTGACTCACTTCCTCTCCAGCCACAGTGGAACATTGCAGGCGTGTCAGGGCCTTCACACGGGCTGTCCCCTCCCCCGGGAAGATGTTCCCACTCAGCTATCCACTCAGCTATCGTTCTTCCCTCCTTCAAGACCTCCTCAAATACTACCTCTTCAGAGAAGTCCATCCTGACGACCCCACCTAAAATTACAACCCCTACCCATGCCCCCCGCCCCCCGCTTTATTGTTCTTCTCTACTTCCTTCGCCCGGCAGCCAGGATGTAATCCCTGAAACCGAAATCAGATAATCTCCCTCCCCAGCTCCTCACCCTCCTGGGTCTTTCCATTTTCCCTGAAGAAAATTCCAAAGTCTGCACTCATTGTGCCTCATGACTGGGCCCTTACTTGCTACTTCTCCAGCAGGATGGGGTGCTTCCTACCCCAGGGCCTTGGCACTCACTGCTCTCCCTGCCCTCCACAGACTCACGTCCTCACTTCGTTTAGCTCTGACCTCAATAAGGCCTTCCTGGACCTGCCCCGTCTAACCGCTGGCCATGCTTCATTTTTCTGCATAAGACATACCACTGCCTGATGCTATAGTATTGATTTGCTTCTTGCTGGTCTCTCCCGTTAGGATAAAAACTGCTCAAAGGGGGCGCCTGGGTGACTCAGTGGGTTAAAGCCTCTGCCTTCCGCTCAGGTCATGATCCCAGGGTCCTGGGGTCAAGCCCTGCATTGGGCTCTCTGCACAGCAGGGAGCCTGCCTCAGCCCCCCTCTCTGCCTGCCTCTCTGACTACTTGTGATCTCTGTCTGTCAAATAAATTAAAAAAAACAACAACACCAAAACTGCTCAAAGGCAGGACTTAGGACCACCTAGTCCCACTCTATCTATCCTCAGTGTTTAGGACTGGGCTGCTTGATAAATATTTACAAAGCAAATGAATCCGCGAATGGATCGATGGGTGAATGAATTCATCAGTCACTCAGGCTGGCATGGAGGAGGCCCTAGCAGCAGAGAATGAGGCAGGCCAACTACTAGATCATTGTGGAGAGTGGTCATGGTGGCCTAGATAGGGTGGAGGCAGTGGGTCGGGACAGAGGGGTCCCCTGACGCCATACTCCCTGGGGCACAGGCTGCCAGGTCACTCCACACTGATCCCCATCCCGGATGATGCTCCTGGAGCCTTGAACTTTCTGGGCAGGCAAGAGGCACGTAATCACAAAGACCCGTCATGGGAGCCCTCCAGGGAGGCATTCGGCCCTCCCGGCTCAGAGCCTTTCATACCCAGGCCTCTGGGTCCCAGGCTGGGACGCCTGCCTCATTTTACCACCAAAGCTGAGGCTTCCATGCAAACCTCAGCATTCCGACTGTCTCCAGCCCCGTCGCCCGCACACTGGCTCCCGGGAAGATGCTGCGGGCAGCGTCAGGCACTCAAACACCGTAGGGGATCCTTGGGAGGGGGCATGATGCCCTCCCGCCCACTAAGTGGCACCACTCCTGACTTCGCTGAGATCACACCCAGCTCTGCCGCTCACAGCCGAGGGATGGAAGGCAAACCACGGATCTGCTCGGTGCTGACTTCCCCACCTGCAGAATGGGGTCACGGTAGTCCCTCTCTCCCGGGGCTGAGGCAGTAACACCTGCCAGGTGCTCAGGCAGGAGGGGCCTTGGCCACACTCAGTGTAGCCACTGCCACCTGTCCCTGCATTCAAGCTGCAGGCACCCGGGGGACTCGGGTGACAGTCCCCGGGGGCACCAAACACCTGGGATTCTGTCCTGTTCTGGTACCTTAGGAGCCTGGGGCACTCATTCAGTCAACAAGCATTTATGCGGCAGCCTTGACTCATGGGGAGTAAATGGTATGTATGCAGGTCGCTGTGTCCCCAACACCCCTCACAGGGCCATGCGCACAGCAGGTGCCACACACTTCCGCTCAGGACCACTGATGTGGCCGGCAGTGGTAACTGGGCGCCTGGGAGGGAGAGAGGAAGGACCCAGAGCCCTGACAACACAAGCAGTTCTCTTGCACAGACGGCAGAGTGGGTGGGGCTTTCTCTCAGACAGAGCAGAGGACGGACCACAAACCGGGGAGGGCGACACACCAGGCCCTCTGCGGGGCGTTTTACTTGACGCGCTCTCCTTTGAGTCTCTGCGAGAGGCAGCCCCTGGGATCCTCACAGATTTTACATTTAAGCTCAGAGAGGGATGTGACCTGTCCAAGACCACACGGACGTTCTACAGTGGGTTTCGAACCCAGGTGGGGGTGGTCCCAAAGCTCACACAGCACTACCCTGACCCCAGAATTGGACAGGGCCCCCACAGTGCCCCTCGCTGGCATGGAACAGTACGGCCATCCCTGGCCCCTGGCCTCAGCCCGTCCTTGCTACAGTAGCATCCTGGAAGTAAGTCGGAAGGCAGGGATGGAAAGTCGGGAGGGTGAGGGTGGGGGGCGGGGGGGATAACTATCCAGCCCTGGGAGGAAGGCCCGAAGTGGAGCAAACGGCAGACGGGTCAGAGCCCAGTCCTGCCAGACTCCATCTGCCAAATCCAGACGGCTCAGGAGCCCTGAGTCCCCAAGCCATGTTCCTCGTGCGTCTGAAATAGCTACAGACAGCAGGCTAAGAACCCCGGGGATGCGTCAGCACAAACGCTCGAGGAACAGGCTTCGAGACGAGGATCAAGGTCAGAGCTCAAGCAGGAGCCGGCCTGCGCCTCCTGGCCTCCTCATCGTGCCCACCCCCACCCTGCTGACGGCTTGGGCCACCCCCCATTCCGGCACCCACTGAGGCCGGAGACCGGCTGCAGGTTTAGACTCAGTGGCTCCATTAGCTCTCTAGACGAGGCCGTTCATCCGTTCTACAGCTGAGGTCACTGAGGCTCAGAGAAGGAAGGCCACCTGTCCAAGGTCACACAGCAAGGATGAGGCGGGAAGCAGAGCTGTGTTCAAGGTCTGACTCTGTTATTCCGACTGCTTGACACAAGAGCCAGGACGCCCTCAGGACCGGCTGCTCCCCCCATCTCCTTCCTCCTCAAATCAGCGACGGTTCAGAAAATTCCCTTCCTCTTAGGGAAAAGACCTTCTTTTTGTCTGAGGTGGCCCAGTCAGGGCCCGGATACCCCAGGAGTCTGGTATGAGGGAACTGTGGGGCCAAAATAAAGTGAAATGATGGCGGGCAGTCCCCGGTGCCGACCCCTGCCAGGTGGACTCGAGATTCGAAGTGGTGATGCTCCTAGGCGATTGCTGGCCCAGCTGTCGCCTCAGCAGAATGAGGCCCTCCCCACCCTCCCTCCACCTCGCTCCAGCCCAATTCCCTAGTTCCTCCTTCCTCCCCTCATTACAACAACGGAAGGCTCTTACATAAAGGTGCCATTTTCAGCTCTTTTTTCTTCTGGCTTCTTTACTCTGATGTCAGGACATCAGGCTCCCCCAACTCTGCCCCTAAATGCACCAGAGGCCCGAGGCTAGGGGCCCCCCACTCTGTAGATGGGAAAGTTCCCAGAAGGTCATCATGGAGATTTCTGCCCAAGGCCGGGGGAGGGACAGAGGAGGGAAATCTGAGAGGGGAGTGGGTGTGAGAGAGAACAGAAGGAAGATGGGAGGGAGAGGTGGAGAGCAGGAGACAGGAAATAGCTGGAGCTGGGGGACAGGAGCCATCACCCCAGGAAGGTCAGGGTGGGGGAGGGGACCAGCTAGGTAGAGCCAGAGTCCTGGCATTCCTGGACTGGGGGGCAGTGGGGCTGCCTGGAGTGAAGTGGGCAGGACTGGGGTTCCAAAAGGATCAAGGAGCCAGCCCCTGGCCCAATTGCCATGCTGGTGGAGAGCTGGTCCTGCTCCCGAGCTCTCCAAGCATGGGATGAGGCTGGAAGTCTGGCAGCTGGCAGGGAAGGGCAGAGTGCTGTGGGTCACCAAACAGAGGGCTGGAACGCACACTCACTCGCATGGCTGAGACCACGGGAACTGCCCTGGTTCCGGGCTGGCTCTGGGCACTTTTACCCGCTGTCCGCTCTCCTGCTATCATGTTTGCCCACCAAACCACAGAGGTCCTCAGGAGGCCTGTGTGGTGCAGATGGAACGTGCTACCTTCTGCCTCCACGCATCACCCTCCCAATGCTCTCAGGAAAAGGACTTCATTCAGTGGACAGAGAGTGTGACGGGCGCTGGAGAGCAGAGCTCCAGGACGGATGCGGTGACCCCAAGAACCCAGCTGAGGGAAAACACTGCCTCTCGCTTTCCGTGACCCTCCAATCCACACGACACATTTCCTCCCTTATAAACGGAGGCAACAGCCCAGCAGAATTGGCAGCGCCCGAGACATTGTTGCCGACTGAAGTCCCAGGTCTTTCCCAGTTGCTGCAGGTGCCACCGAACCCCACTTGGGCTCACCCCGGCTTCACACTCACAGCCTCGCTGACTCACTGTCGGACCTCGCTACGGTGTGTGCTCATCAGGAAGCACATGGTTTCCAAATTGTTCTGGAATTTTGAAAATGGCATTCTGCTGTATTATTTGGGTTTTTTGGTAACCCAATGATGTATTTTCTTTTAAATATTTAAGACTATTCTTTTGAGAAGGGGTGCCAGGGTTTGCCAGCCTGCCGGAGGTGCTCGTGGCACAGGGAAGGTGAAGACCGCTGTCTTGGGTCAATGCTTAGTCTGACCCCCCCCACCCCCCCACCGTTTTATAACCAGGAGACTACGGGCTCCAGAGGAGAGGGCTGGCCTCCGTGGACTTGGTTCTGACTGCAGGAAGCAGCTTCCAACCCTCCCAAGTACCCACAGGGAGGCAAACATGCTGCAAAGGGCTGGCGGGGAGGACTGCTGCTTATTTCAGACGTGGGCTGAGGCCAAGCTGCAGCTGCCCCGAGGCTCACTGACGCCTCTGCTGAATTTATGGTTCTGAGGATGCAGGGCGCTCGTGCGGAGGTCTCTTAGCTGGGAATGGGCTGTTCTTAAGCAGAAAAATGAACTCCAGCCTTGCTGTGCCCTAATCTTGGCCCCGAGCGGCTTCCTAGGACAGGGGCTGCAGAGCCAGTCTGCACGACCACAGGCTTGTAGCTACCCAGACTGTAGCAGTAGCCTCGCCAAGTCACTCCATCTACCTGTGCCCACTGAGCTCTCTCCACACACAGGGGAAGCATTTTAAAAGATACAGACAAGGGGCACCTGGATGGCTCAGTGGGTTAAAGCCTCTGCCTTCGGCTCAGGTCATGGTCTCAGGGTCCTGGGATTGAGCCCCACTTCGGGCTCTCTGCTCAGCAAGGGAGCCTGCTTCCTCCTCTCTCTCTGCCTGCCTTTCTGCCTACTTGTGATCTCTGTCAAATAAATAAGTAAATCTTAAAAAAAAAAAAAAAAGATACAGACAAGATCTTGTCACTTCCTGCCTGAAGACGCTCAGTGGTGTTCCACAGTTTCAGGGTTAAGCCTGAGTCCCTGGCGCTTCCTGCTGCTAAGCCGGCACCCTCTCCCCTTCACCCCTGGCACTCTGGCCCTCCTGACCTCCCACAGTTCCTTCCAGGGTCCACAAGCCTTGAGCTCAGGGCCTTTGCATGTGCCAATTTGGCCCATCAGCTCCTTGCCTGGTGGATTGCCCAGTTGACGCCAATGACCTCAGATCTCAGCTCCAACATCCCCTCCCCTGACAGCCCACGTTGGTCAGGGCCCCGGTCCTCGACCCTCTTCTCAGAGTGTGAGTTAGGTAGGTGGTCTGATCTGAGGTTGCCTCCCCAGCAGGACTTGCTAAGCTCCCGGGCAGCAGGGGCTGTCGTCTCAAAGCCAGGGATGGGGGGCAAGGAGGGGTGCTCCGCAAATGCTCGCCGCAGGGCTGGGTGATGAATGAGTCAGTAGTTGGGCTCCTTCTTGCTCCCCTACTGCGGAAGGGCTTGCCCAGCAAAGTACTCTCTAAACCCAACCAGGCTGGACCAAAGGCACAACACAGGAGGTGGGAGAAGGTCCTCTGATCATTTTCTCCTTGTTTCTGGGAAGAGCTGCTTCACAGTTAGGGGTCCCTGCAGCCAGAAGAGCCGGAGACCGGCCTGAGCTTCTCCACCCTCCTTTCGCCCCAGGACTTTTCCTCCTTAGACGAGGAGGAAAGCATAGAGACCATAAGGGAGCACCGTGCTGACAGCCACACCCAGCACCCACTTCTCACCTTACTGCCTAGGGGCAGGGACAACAGGGTTTTAGAGCAGCCCCCCACCCCAGCATGCCTTGGCAGGCCCAGGGAGCCCCTTTCCAGGCACACGAGAGGCTTGGAGTGTGAACCTCTCAATTCCAGGTGGAAAGGGGTTGAAGTTAAGGTGGGGCAGTCCCAGCTGCCACCCCTAACCTCAACAGCACCTGCTTCATAGGTACAAGGCTGGCCTTGGCCTCTGCAACCTCTTTTTCCCCGAAATCCTCCGCAGTGCCCTTTGCCAGTCTTCAGAGTATCAACAGAATGGGCTCGCAAGTACTCCACGCCTGCAAGTCCACTCCTGAGCTCACTCATGAGTTTTCAAGACAACCCAGAGGACTCAAGGCTCCCAAAGCTTCAGTCACCTGTCCAAGGTGTCACGGCTACCACTTGGGAGAGCCAGCCCCAGTCTGCGGGACTCCCCAACCCGTTCACTTAAGCCCCTCTGCCCCAGGCTGGCTTGTACCCCACGAAGAACCCAATTAATGGCAGGGAAGCCTTGCTTCTGCTCAGCTCTCGCGGCTGACATCCGAATGGGAGGGGAATGACATTGTCTGGAGGCAGGAAAAATTCCCAGGGCCAGCCCTCTATTAGACAAATGGAAAAGAAACACTATTTGTCAATGGAGGAAGGCTGCATCTGATCTCCTTTGATCGATTTTGTCTGGTTTAAGGGAAAACGGCTGCAGAATGAGCCACGTTTAACCCAAGATTGCTAACTGCAGAGCGTGGCCCACAGAATTCGGGCTAAATGGAAACTGGTTCCATCTGGGGCAACTGTCTGGGGCATCTGGGTCATGGGAGCCAGCCCTCTGCTGCTCTGCCCGCCCGGATGGCAGCTCCAAGGACATTTTCCTACCATGTGGGAGGTAAAAGGTTAGGAGGCTGGGATATGAGAAGATAACCCTGTGTGGCCAGGGAAGGCAGATTCATTTCAGTTTCTGCTCCACATTTCCTGGGCCCCAACTCACTTCCAGAGCCTGGGCTGGCACTGGGCAGACAGACAGGAGAAAGACGTGCTCCCTGCCTGGTCCCTGGTCCCTCCTGTTTCCCAGGGAAGACACACTCAGAAGAGGTGAGAGCCATGTGACAGGCGTTTGAACACAGTCAGGAAAGCAGGTGAGCTCCATGAGGGACAGGATCTGGGTCACAAGAAAGAAATGCTTTGGGTTATTGTCCATCCAGATTTGGGGGTTCAGCATCACTGCAGCAAAAGCTCACGGACATGTGCTGGGGTTGCAGACCAGTGCCTGTCACTTGGTGGTGAGTAGATAACTACTGGATCCTGACTCTACCACTCACTAGCTGAGTGACCTGGACCAGGTCGCTTTTGCCTCTGACTTTGGTGTTCCTCCCTGTGCAATGGGGATCATGGTGGTACCTGCCACTCCTAATTACTGGGAAAGTCAAAGAAGATACAGTTGGAAAGCATTATCACAGTGCCACGAAGAACTCTCGACAAATGCCAACAACGATGATTATTAGGAAAGGCCCCTGTTGTTTATATGGGCCAGGCCCTGGGCTGGACATGAGGGATTCATTGTCGATTCCAGACACAATCACTGCTGTGGTCAGGCGGAGTAGCCAGCCAAGCTTGTAAACATTCTTAGAATATAATGAGACAAGAGGGACAATGGGACGCTCAGGGGGCTGGAGGAGCCATAGGGAAGTCAGAGAATCACGGAAGCCTTCTGGGAAGAGGTGGCATGTGAGCGTAGGGCTCATGCCCACAGAGGAGACAGCAAGCCATGTGAAGTGGGAAAGAGAAGACTCCAGACAGAGCTCACAGTGTATGAAAGCACAAGAGGTCTCTCAACAGCTCCACAGCACAGAAATGATCATCCCCAGGTTACAGGCCCTAAAACTGAGCTCAGAAAGGTAAAATCCCTTTCTGAGGTCACACAGCAAGGAATTAGCAGGGCTGGGGTTTAAGCGGAGAGCCTCCTCACCCCAAAGCCTGGGGAAACCTGATGGACCGGCCAACAGGAGGGACAGTGAGCACCGAGAAGAATCTCAGTTCCCACCAGGGCCGGGTGCAGACATAAGGGGGTGGCAGGAAGGGCCACGGCCCCCTACCTCCACCCCGGCTAAGGGACTCCCACGGCCCTGCCCGGCAGGAAGGACGGTACCTCCATCAGGTCTATAAGCCACAGCAGCCGCTCCTGGGGAGGAAGGGTGGGCAAAAGGCAAAAAGAAAAATACATCAAATAAATATTAGGGATGGGGCGGGTTCAGCAGCCACCCCTCTGCCCAGCATGCACACATGCACACACACAGAGGAAGGCAAAAATGAACACGGTTCTCTAAGATCCCTTTTCTGTTTCCTCCAGATACTTGGGGCGGGAGTAAAGGAGGGATGAAGAAAAAAGGTCCCGTTGCCACAACCAGAACTCCTTCTTGGTAACTGTCTCCTCGAAGGAAGCCAGGGGTTGCCGCGGTTCTGCAGAAATGACACCTGTCCTTGAAAAGGGCTGTCAGAAGACAGCTGTGCACTGTGAGGCAACCCTGGGACTTGCCAGCAGGTGAGGCTGGGACTGTCACTCCCATTTGGTAGGTGGAAAAACGGAGGCCCAGGGAAGAGAAGTGACATGTCCAAGGTCACACCTGCTAATGGCAGGCAGAGCCTGAGAGAGGACCTTGTTCAAAAACCTGGATCAGAGGAAACTTGCATTGTGGAGGGCCCCAAGCCTTGTGCTGGCAGCGAAGGTCTGAGTCGGAGGGATGGGCCCCACGCTGTGCATGTGAGGGCGCTGGAGGCAGGATAAGAGTGAAGCGGGGGAGCAGAGGCTCAACCCAGTGCTTTCCAGAAGCCTCCAAGTGTCTGCAAGGCCCTGGGTGCAAATCCTCAAGGTGATTTTCTCCAGCCAGGTTGGGGGAAGTCAGGAAGAGTTGAGGCTCCACCTGTCCTCAGGGTCTGGACAGTATTTCTGGGATGCTGGTGCCAACAGGGAGGTCACTCCTCGTTTAATCCTCCCTGGGCATCCAAATGCTAGGCATAGCAGCATCGCTGCCCCAGGGCAAGTGGGGAAACTGAGGCACTGGGCAGTGAAGCGTGGGGCTGAGACCGGTGGTGGCCAACTCTTCTTAGGTTTGGGGGAGACCCCTGGGCTGGGCAAGGTCATGGCAGGCCAGCGCTGAGCTGGACATAATAGTTACCTTGACTGCCATCAGAGCCTTGGGCAAAGACCTTGGGCCATTCTACTCATGGGGAAACTGAGGTTCAGAGAAGCTGGGGGTTAGACTTAAATCTCCTCCCTCTCAAGCTAGAACACACCCCATCCCCCCACTGGATCTCTCATCCCCGATTCTAGAGAGACCATTCCAGAATTACAGCCTGCCGTCCCCCAGGTTTCAAAGCAGTGGCTTATGGCTCCTGAAGACCCACGTGGGCATGTCCAAGGCCAGTCTCAGTGGAGCCGGACCCTGAGAGAAATGGCCCCTCGGGCCAGATCCCTGCAGCCTGAAGTCAGCTCATCACCTGCGTGCCACCACAGAGCCAAACACACAGCCCCAGGTGGGGAGCACCCTCTGGCCTGCTCCAGAGGTGACCTGCCTGTCCCCCGAAGCATGACGTGGTCTCCACTGCAGCCAGAGCCCTAGAGGAATGCCTGGCAGCTGCCTGGGCCCCCCGGGAAGGGACAAGGACTCCTGCAGAGGAAGGGGACTCAGAACAGTAGGGGTGGAAGACAGAGACATAGAAGTTCCCCAGAAACTCATCTCCCCAGAGCTAAGAAGAGACGCAAGCTGTCTGCAAAGGCAAGGGCGCTGCCCCAGGGCTGTTTCCTGCCGGCCACAAGCTCACTGGTGCCCACTAACCCCCGGCTGGCATCCTCAGACACCACCGTGTCCCCGGAGCTCTGCTGCTGCAGCTGGACAACTAAGTGCATCTGCCCCTAGTCTACTGAGATTCCCCCTGTAAGGTGTCCCAGTTCAGCATCTGGGAGCAGCAGGGCTTGAGAAATACGGCTCTGCCCTGCCCTTTCCCCTGGAGAGTGGTGATGATGAACGATCTAAAGACGGGAGCGTAGGGCGTGAGACAGGCCCGCTCTCCTCACCTCCACCCCGGCTCTTCCTGCCACACGGACGGGGATAACTGGTTCCCCAACCAAGCCGCAAGGCATTTCCTTTGCTCCTTCTTTGCGAAGGTCTCCTGGGATTAATTTGCTTCTGAGCATCCTGGGGGGCAGAACCCAGGAGGGACCGCATGCTTTTCGGGGGAGGCTGGGGAGTCTGGGAGAAAGTCGGGGGGCTGTAAAGACAAGAGGGGGTTTCTCGGGGAAGATCCCATCATGACGACCCCATGAAGGCACAGCCATGGCTTCTGGTGGGGTCCTCCCATGGATTGTTACTGTTTTTTCTCTTTGTCTTATTACCTGTGTTTTTCACCTTTCTCCCCGAGCCCACCCCTCCACAGACCGGGAGCCCAAGAGGCAGGGCCACATCTGCCTTGTTCACTAGCTGTCTCCTAGCGCCTTGCTGGGCACGCATCAGGCATTCGACAACAATAAGGTTTTTCCAACGGAAGAAACTGAAGCTCAGAAAGGCAAGGGACAGAGCTGGTAAGGGGCGGTACTGAGATTCACGCCTAGATCCGTCTCACGGCAAAGGCTGGACCTTGACGCCCCACCCCCGTTGGCCGCAAAGCCAGGGACGGGGCAGGGGCAGCTCACCCTGGCCGAGCTGACGGTAGTGGAGGTGCCATGGCTGCCTGTGGATGAGCCCGTGTCGCTGTAGGAGACCATGGAGTAGGTGTCCCCGGCCCCAGGGCCCGGGGGCTGCCGGGCCTTCATGGACTCGATCTCCCGCCTCAGCACCAGGTGGTCGAAGCGGTCCAGGTCTTGCGGCGAGATGGTGCCTCTCACCTCAGACAGGAGCGAGAACTGGGGAGGGGGACAAAGAGGGCACTCAGCCGGAAGTCCACCAGTGGAGGGACCCATCCCCTGCTACGCCAAATCACCCGTGTACCGACTTGACCTCTGGCCTCTCCCTCCTTAACCCCCCGGGGCTCCCCACCGTCCTAGGGGAAGTCCAAGCACCGCCACAGCCCGGAAGCTGGGCCAGCCTCATCTGACACCTGCTTCCCTCTCGCCGTCCTCGCTGGCATCTCAGCCAGTACACACGACTGCAGCTCCCCGAACACTCCAGGAGGCCTGTGGCTGTCCTCCCACCTAGAATGGCCTTCCCTCCTTCTCCGAAAATCCCGTTTCCTCTATTAAACCTTCCCACACACCACTGCTCCCAAGAGGTTTAATCCCTTCTTCCTTTGTGCAGCTTCTGGACCCTAGACTTCCTCCAGCCTGGCTCTCAAAGTGGCCAGCACCGGGGTCTTGTGGCAGGCTCCCACCCACAGATGTGTGGCGTTCCCTGGCCTGGGGCGAGGCCTGGGCATCACTTTGAAGAGCAATCCAGATGATTCTAGATGTATGCTCAGCATCCACAGCCACGTTGCTAGGGCCCACATCACAGGGGACTTCAATAGATGATTTCCCCAGGAGTTTGGGGGCTGCCTTCCCTGGGACGGGGGCACCCCGGTCACCGGTCTCCGCCCAGGGCCACTTCCGCCTGACTCTTTGCAGGTGCGCAGGAAAGGAGTGGGGGACACAGGGAGGAGGCAGAGCCCTCGGGAACCGCCGCCTTGCCCTCCGAGGGGCTCGGGTCACCTTGGCATGGGTGTTGAGCAGCTCAAATAGGGCCGTGACCAGGGCCTCCACGGAGACGCTGCCGCCGCGGTACTCGTCCAGATAGTAGGCCATGGTGGCTTGTTCCTGCTCATTCAGCAAGTGCCGGGCCTGCTCCTCCAGCAGCAGGCGCATCTGGTTCCCCAGGCTGCTCAGGGTCACCTGGGAGCCGGCTGGCCCCTTGTAGAATCCCAGCTGGAAGACAGGAAGACAGGTGGCCGGGAATTCCGAAGGGCTCTGGGGTCACGTGGCAGGGCCATGCCAGTGACCACAGCGCGGGCAGGCTGGGGTTGGGGGGTCCCCTCTGTGGCCTTGGTCTGCGCCATGCACCCGCAGGGGGGCCCGGGTCCATTTCAGGCTGTGCGGCCTCGTGCGGGCGGTCGCAAAGGGCTTCACGCCCTCCACAGCGCTTTCACGTGTCCTCGCCTCAGCTCCCGTAACTGTTCAGAGTTGAGCGGTCTTGTTATGGTTTCCGATTTATTCTCTAGGTTTCAGAGCCTCCCTTGGTAAATCGGGAGTAATGGCAACTTTACTTCTGAGACGGAGCACAGATCCACACACCCTCCTCCCTCTCCCCGCCACTGCCTCTGGCATCATCCGGGCTGTGGCTAAGATGCTGTTGGTGTCCACTCTGTGTCTCCCATCACCTACGCAGAGCTGCTGAGATGATCTGGTAAAAACAGACATCTCCCCCATAGTCTCCCACTGTTTTAGGTCAGAAGTCAAATCTCTTAGGCAGCCCACAAAGCCCCGTGTGACCCAGTGATCCCACCTGTTGTCACTCTGTTCCCAGGTCCTGCTCGCTCACTGCCCCTCCCCCCACCCCCATGCTCTCCTTGCCGCTGCAGGGCTCTTGCACAGGCTATGCCCTCCGACTAGACCATCCCTTCCCACCCCGCACCAGACTCCAATGTGGTTAATTCTTTTTAACACTCAGTGCCCAGCCCCCAGCATCATGTCACCAAGTCAGAGAGCCTCCACCCTCCCCTCTGCCTCTCACCCCGCCTAAATCAGATGTCTCATCGGTTGCGCTCTCTGAGACTCTCCAGCCTGGCCTGGTGGCACCAAACATCTTCTGTGAATAGAGAGGTGGGCAGGTTTGTTTTTCTGTGTGTCTCCTTCACTAGGCATAATCTCCACAGGGGCAGGGATCTGATCGGTTCTGTTCAGTGCCATCATCCCCAGGGCCAGGGGTGGTGCCCACAGATGTGTGCGGAATGAAGGACGGATGGACAGTCAGTGGACTGCCCAAACAAAAGGAGATCATGCACATGAGCGGGTCTGCAACCCCCTCACTGCCCCCACGGGGATGTATGAAGCCAAAGATAGCCATGGATGGGGACCGCCCTACCTTGTTTGTCCCTTCCGTGGGAAGATCCCCAGGACATCTATGGAGAAAGATGAATGTGTTCAGCGGCGTGACTGAGCAATTCGGATGGACGCGAGCAAGGGAGAGGCTGATCTGGAGCAGGAGAGAGCCCTGGCCTCACCCCACTGGGGCAGCTCAAGGGGACGTGACCACCTGGACAGCTGAGCGGCTTCTGGCCTCCCAGTGGAGCCTGTGGGCAGCACTTCTCCACTCACGCACTTGCTTCCAACCCTACAGGCCCAGGCAGGTAACACCAGGACAGGAGACAATAACCCGTGACCTCGGGGTCTGGCCAACCCTAGGGAGGGGGAAGACCGGGGCAAACTGGAGACGCAGGGCGGCAACTGGCAGGTGCAGCTCAGCTCCAGCCCAATTTCTTGAAAAACATGCGTTTAAGCCACCAGAATTCCTTATTTTAAAGCAGCAGCCAGAAAGCCAGGTTTGTTTTTTGTTTTTCTTTTCTTTCCATGGGAAACTTGATGCCTTTTTAAATGCTGGAATTTAACTAAAACATTTATGATACCGCGCTGGCGAGAGGGGAGAGCGGGAGGCAAGGAAGGGAGAGGGATGCTCTGGGTGGATCTGGCCCGGGAGGCCGCCAACCAGGCTGAGACGCCTGCTGGAAATCCAAAGGGGACGCAAGACACTCTCAGCACCACTGCAGCCGTCAGCAGCTGTAGCCGCTTCATGACTCCCAAGACCCTTTTCCTCAGGGAACTCACAGGGTCCTCATCCCCAGAGTTGGATGGGGGCCTGGGTGAGGAGCCCCACTTCCAGACAAAGGACCTAAGGGCCCAAGATTAAGTTAACTGATTTGCGCGAGATAAAGAGCTAGAGAAGGTGATGGTGCAGCTCAGATTCCCATGGGGAACAGGCCTGGAGAGGAGAAGGGATGTGTCCGAGGTCATGTCCACAATTGCAAGGGACCTTGGGATGGGGACCGCAGGCTCTCAGAATCGTTACAGATCCGGGAGTGGTGAGGGGACGGGAGGGGGCATCACTGGCTTTCAGAGACGGCCCTGCGATCCTGGGGCCCGGAGTGAGGGGTGCAGCCAGACCCTGCCAAGTTCGTGCTGGTGTCCCCAATCCGGGAACTGGCAATCCACTTGGTCTCATCCACTGTGGTGCGGGCGTGGGGCAGCCTCCCGACGTCCTTCACCGTCAGGATGAGGTGCTGTGAAGACTTGAGCAGCCTGACCGCCTCGTCGTGCAGGATGTTGAGAAAGCTCCGCCCGTTCACCTCCAGAATCTGGTCCCCAACCTGCAGAGACCACCAAATGACACAGTCACCTGGGGGGCATGCAGGACACCGACTCATGCCCAGGGCTTTAGAGCCCTGATCCCAGCCTGCTGAGAAGGTCACTGAGGCTCAGAGAGGTTATGCGGATGCCTGCGGGTCACAGAGCAAGCCAATGGCAGAGCCAACCTTCCAGTCCTGAGCCTGAGCCCCTGCTCCTGTTACTAAAAAGGGCCACTTCCCCTCAGCCTAGCAGTGGTTTAGAGAGGTGGGTCTACAACAAGATTCCCCAAGGGTCCCCTTATCTAGACAGCAACAGCCATCTGGGAGCAACTTGTTGGGAGTGGCTGAGGGCAAGGGGAGAGATGGGAAGGTGTGCTTCCATTATGGCCCTTTTATGCTTCTACAGGGTTGAGATTTTTACCGCAAGCATGCGGTAAAATATCTCCTTAAAATACAAACAATATTTTCATTGACTCAAGGAAAGAAGCAGAAAGTGAGAAAACTGGTCTCCCAATAAAGCAATAACATATCACCTGGATTCTTGCAATTTTCAGGCAGTTTTATTGTAATTTTTTTATTGTTTTATTATAACGTAAAAACACTTTTTTTTTTAAGTGAAAGGATGAAAAAATAAAAGGAAAAAAGTAGCCTTCCCATAAAAATAAAACTGTGACAGAATTACACGAGGCTGGAAGGGAGGATGCCTCAGAGTGAGACGGGGCGTCTGACAGACTGCCAGCATGGTTCCACTCGGAGGAGGGTCTGCTTCTCTTCCTTGCTCTTCCAGGAGGGGGCACTGAGCTCGAGGCAGGGAAGGGGCTGCCCAGGGCTTCTCCCCACTGTGGCCTTGAAGGGTAGCCTCATAATGCCAGTCGTCCCTGCCTGCTTTTCCTTCTCCCCAGCTTCCCAGCCTGCCGATGGCTCAGGAGCAACCCCCAGAGGGTTTTCCCAGCATTTTTTCCAAAGCAGAATTTGGAAAAGGTGAGCCACAGGGGTATTTGGAAGAAAGAACATATGAATGAAGATGTGTGGATGAGATGGAGATTCAGAACCCTGGTCCCCAGTTGCTCTTCTTTCCTTTAGGGCTCGCCGGCAGGTGGGGGAATTTCCAGTAAAGAAAGCAAACTCAGACTTCGTGTCTCCCCTCGCCCACGCAACATTAACCGCACACCTAGCAGGTGCCCGCTCCGGGCTGGGATGCCATGCTGGGCACGACAGCCCTGATTCTGCTCTCATGCTGCCCGCGCTCGTGAGGGGGCTGAGATTTATGCTGTGATTGGGTTTTCCCACACTGCGTCCCAGGGCCCGGCACACAGTGGGAACTCCACAAAAATCCATTGCATGAATGAGAAGTCAGACCCCTGTTCCTTGCACCAGGAGCATCTCTGCCGCAGCCCAGTGGGGACCAAAACATGATACCAGCCCGGGGCCCCACGTTTCAAGCCACTATTACTGGACACTGAATGTGTGCTGAGTACCTGGTTTGTCCCTTTACATGTATTTTTTCCTTATTTGATAGCCTCAACATCCTGCAAAGGAGGTATCTTTGCTCTCCACTCTGCCAGAGAGAAAATGGAGGCTCAGAGAGGTTAAGTGAATAGTGTGCGGTCACAGAGCCAGTGAAAAGGACAGCTAGGAGACAGACCCAGGTCAGCACGGCCCCACAGCCCTCCTGCTTTCTGCTACTGAGCTGTTTTTAGGAGCTCTGCCTGGGGACACATGGCATCACTTCAGACCCAGCATGTCCAAAAGCCACTATCCTGCCATCGCTCCTAGTCCTGTCCACGGCACCCAGATCTGAAAACTTGCCCCATCATCAACTCTGCCTTTATTCCCCCTGGTAACCCTTCAGGAGGTCTCACCCAGTCTTCACCCTCCACACCCCCGTGGCCCCCCAACCTGGGTCTCCTCCTCTTCCTCACACCGAGATCCCTGAGCCGGGATCTCTTCTGTGCTGAGGGTGGAGGGCACCTCCTGCCAGGCCCCCTGCACCCCCATCAGGACACGGCCTCCCGTGTGCCAGGGGCTTCTGCGCTCTGCCTGGCCCAAGCCCACTCTGCGGCCCCGCAGCCCCCACAGCTCCGGGCTGCAGCCAGCCCGCAACCCACCCCCCCGCCCCACCCCACCCCGTCTGCTCAGGGCCTCTGCTTCCTCCGCATCTCTCCCAAGAGCTTTGGCTTTTGTTAAGCGAAGGGAATCAATTTTAACCTTCCCCACACACTTTATTTCCATCCCAGCAGTTTAATGAAAGGAACCAGCATCTGAGAGACCCGATATGTCAGGGCACCCTCTGGGGTGCAAGCCTCTCCCTCCAGGCCCTGGAGGGTGGGAGGTGGGGAAGCCGGGGGAGGGACAGCTCAATTCCACCAGCATCTACCTGGCCCCCCAAAGAGGCTGGGCAGGGAACGTTCAAATACCGCCCCACACGGAGGTACACTAAATGGAGTATCCGTTGTTTACTTGGAACTTAAAAGGACACCTGTATTTGGATTTGCTAAATCTGACAACCTGGGGTGGGGCGGTGTCAGTAACTGTGAGGGGCAATGGTTTTTTTTTTTTTTTTTTTTTTTTTTTTGGTGGGGGGCACAGTGGTTTCCAAACTCCCGTTATGGTCTCGGGCCGGGAGCCTGCTGCGGGCATGTCCGCAAGCTCGTGAATTAGGCACGCCTCCTGCTCGGGCCCTGTGCTCAGCGCTAACGGCCCCGAAGCCACAAGGCTGCTGGGCTCCTCAGTTTCCCTTCACGCCTGCTGAATAAGTACATCTCTGCTGGATTTGTGGGAGGCAATGTGGGGTTCGTGTGCAGCCCACCTGGGGAGCGGGCCTGAAACAGAAGTCATGCTTGGGAAACCTGCTTTGAACGGGGGTACGTGAGCCCATCTTCTCAATCTCCTTCCAATCTTCTCCTTTCTCCTTCTCCCAGCATCTGTTTTAAAACCCAGGTTCTAGACAGGGTTGGCTTTGGGCCCCCACACAGCCGCGCACAGCATTGGAGTTGGTCTGAGACGCTCCTGGCTCTCCGAGTCCGGTTCTCCCCTCTGCTCGCCGGAATGGGGGTCTGCACGCTCACCGCCATTCAGAGTCCACAAGCCCCAACAAACAAACCCGATGTCTCCCCGCTGATCAGAGCCCCGTGTGGCCTGCGGGGTGAGGAGTCCCGTCCCTACGGTGCATCAGAAAGAAGCCTTTGGTTCTGCAGCCAGGCAGGCAACCGGGAAGTAGGGGCAGTGTGGCCCTGCTCTGCTCTTGAGCACACTCCGAGTCTTGGTGTTCTGTCTGTAAAACGGGCTCCATGCTACTACCAGCAAGGCCTGGGAGGCCACAAGAATCCCATGGGACCACCAGCACAAGAGAGGCTTCTGACAGCTTTTCACTCGCTTCCCTTCCCAATGGAGGGGACAGGTTCCGAGATGTCAAGTGATTTGCTCGAGGTCACACAGGATGGGAAAAACAGAGCCAGAGCTTGAGCCCAGCTGTTTGCACATTCTTCATGCAGCTCTCCCCTTTATCCCACCATGTCCTGGCTCGAGAGAGACAATTCAGTAAATGGTGAAGGGAAGGGAGACACCCATCCTCCCCCACCCCTCGACCTGCCCCTTTCCCTGGGTCTGGGCAATGTGAAGTTGGAGGTGGCAATGTTTACAGGCCTCGACTTAGCTCTTTCCCCTCAAGACGAAGAATTCAACGTGTTTGTTCCTTTCCCTGCAGCTAGCCTGGAGTTAGACAACGTGCATAGACAAGGCAACGAGTAGGAAGGCAAAGATGCTACGACCGCCAGGGTCCCCCAAAGTCTCCTACAGATGGGGAGACTGAGGCCCAGTCCGCACAGGGATGTGTCTAGGGCAACAGAGCGAGACCACGGCAAAGCCCAGCCTCTGAGGCTCGTAGAGCAAGAAGGCACCCACGCCACCCTGAGCTCAGCAGGGCACGATCCCCTGGAGAAAGGAGAGACAGATGCAGTGTGAGTGAGTCTCCAGTATTGCTCCGCTTGCAAACAGGATGCCGATGGGGAGGACACGGAAGGATAAATGAATAAAGGTGGCTTTACTTTATTTGTCACCATGGGCGTCCTATTAATCACCGTGATGGAGGAGCTGGGGGCGGACCACAGGAACACTCTTTATTTTAACGGAGAGGAAAGACCCCTCTGTCATCCGCAGCCCATCAAGTGACAGGCTCAGATCTGGGACACTCAGAGGGTCTGACCCCAGCTGTGTGACCCTGGTTAACTGCCCCACCCTTTCTGTGCCTCTGTTACCTTCGCTGGGAAGTGGGGATAGCATCAGTGCCTACCCTTGTGGGTTTCAGGACTGAATGACTTACTATTAACTCGCCATTGTAGCCCCAGCACCTAAAACAGCATCTGGCACATAGTAGATGCCCAGTGAACATTTACTGAATGGACAGGTATAAAGCAGGTGAAACAGTATCTATAGCATCCAGTAAGTGCTCAGTAAATGTTAGCTGCATTTTTGAGAAGCCATGCTAACATGGCTCAAGTGATCTCCTCCTCTGAGACCCTCAAAACCATACCCTATCTTTTCACCTGCCTCCTACTCAGGCCCTGCCTTCAGCTTCAAATGGGTCACATTTTTACCACCTCCACGAGGTACCTACTATTACCCCATTTTACAGATGAGAAGACTGAGGCCAGGAAGCGAAGTGAGCAGAGCTGGGATTTGGCCTTCATTCTCCCAGCCAGCAGAACCCCTGCTCAAGCCAGGCACAGCTCCTTTAAGAAAAAACCAGCCTACCCTTCTGGCTCCCATCTCTCAGCCCCACGCTTTGTGCCATGCACACAGTAGGTGCTCTATTCCTGCCTGGTGGAGGGAACCGAAAACAAATGAGCCAAAAGAACTCATGGTAGGATGGGAGTAGCTGAGTTCCCTTCCAAGAGGCAGTCAGTAGAGAGCCCTGCCAATAATTCAATCTGTACTGAACTGGGAGACAGGAGTCCAACCCCTTGGGCCATGCATCTCAGTGCCAGTCACGGGGCAAGATACAACCCCCCCAGTCCATGAAA